GCGGATTTAATTGCAAAGAATACTAGGTATATTAAGGAAAAATTAAAGCCTAAGGTTAAGCCCCACCCATACCTGTCCTGATCTAATAGTAATGAAGTTTTCATTCCTTGGCAGATCTAGGGGCGGAGCCTAATTGCTAAATCCACATTTCCTTACGAAAGTTTACCGTTTTAAACGTGCTTAGGATTTCTAAGAAAAAAAAATCATCAAAACGATGTTCAAAAACATGTTTTTATTTTTTTGTAAAGAAATAAGTATTTTTCAGTTAAGCTCCGCCCCTTGGTTCACGATGAATAAAAAAAATCATCACAATTGAGATAGGGCGGGTGGGCGGGCCTATATGTTTCCTTTTTGTTTTAATACGAGTAGAGTTCTTTTCACAACATGAAACTTAAAACATGTTTAAAATATAAAATTTGTATAAGGAAATATCGATTTTGCAATTAGGCTCCGCACCATAATTGCAAAATCCATATTTCCTTGCAAAAAAGTACCATTTTAACCATGTTTTAAGTTTCTTGTTGTGAAAAGATGGCTATGTATATTATATTTGGAAAACTTGTAATGTGTTCCATATTTGTAAGAATTATAAAATCCAGTCACTTCATTTGTTTTTTTTGACTTACCTTATACCTATATTGTATAAGCAATTCTAAAAAAAAGTGGGAATGATTAGCCATATTTTGGTTGGCGTTTTAGCAACTACACGATATTTATAACGTACAACATATAAAATTTGACAACAATCGGTTTAGTAGTTTCGGAGACTATTTGTCTAATAAAAATGGATACAGACAGGCTCCAGACAGATGGAAACGGGAACCTATTTTTTCGTACTCTTGGGGTCATGAAACATCGAAAAAACTATAAAAGTAGCCAGTCACCCGATACACTACTTCCTTACCTAACACCCGGGAAGCAAAAGATCATTAAAAACAATAAAATAACTGAGCAGATATTTCGTCATTTAAATGGACACAAACGTTCATTTTTACTCATTTTATTTCGATCTTTCCTCTTATGCCATTTTTGAATCGTCAACATTCGAGAGTTTATTCAAAAATCTATTGTATGGTTTAAAATAAATACTATCTCAAAAAGTTTTCGTTTCAAATTCAAAATTTTTTATAGTCACGCCAGGAAATCTTGGTGAAATTGAAACATCAAAAGTTGGGAAATAAGAAAATTGAAAAAATTCAAAATAAAAAAATTATAAAATCGTAACATTGAAAAACAAAAAAAATTGTGAAAATAAAAAACCGAAACGAAAAATTGCAAACTCGAGAAATTTTAAATCGAAAAATTGTAAAACTAAAGAAAATAAAAAACCGAAACGAAAAATCGCAAGCCAAAAATTTGAGGAAATGAAAAATAAAAATTCTACAAATTGAAAAATTGAAAATTGCAAACTCGATAAAATTTTAACTCGGAAAATTGAAAAATCTATAAATTGAAGAAACAAGAAAAACGAAAAATTGAAAAATCTGAAATCGAAGAATTATAAAAGCGAAAAACTGAAAAATCTAAAAATTGTAACATCAAAAATTTGGAAAATGGGAAAGCTGAATAATTAAAAATGAAGACTCGTAAAATTGAAGAAACAAAAAAAAAACGAAAAATTGAAAAAATGCAAATCGAAAGATTGAAGAAACGAAAAACTGAAAAAATTGGAATTAAAAGAACATTTATAAAATCAGGACATTGAAAATTGAAAAATTACAGATTCATTTTTATCAAAACAATCAATCTAGTGTATGGGGTAAAATACTATCACAAAAAGTTCTTGTTTCGAATTAAAAATTTTTTATAGTGACGCCAGGAAATTTTGGTGAAATTGAAACATCCAAAAGTTGGGAAATACGAAAATAGAAAAAAATCCAAATAAAAAAATTATAAAATCGGAACATTGAAAAACAAAAAAATTGTGAAAATAAAAAACCGAAACGAAAAATTGTAAATCGAAAAATTGAGAAAATGAAAAATTTAAAAAATAAAAATTGCAAACTCGAAAAATTTTAAATCGAAAAATTGTAAAACTAAAGAAAATAAAAAACCGAAAGAAAAATTGCATGCCAAAAATTTGAGGAAATGAAAAATAAAAGAATCTACAAATTGAAAAATTGAAAGTTGCAAACTCGATAAATTTAAATCGGAAAATTGAAAAATCTAAAAATTGAAGAAACAAAAAAAATGAAACATTGAAAAATCGGAAATCGAAGAATTATAAAAGCGAAAAACTGAAAAATCTAGAAGTTGTAACATCAAAAATTTGGAAAATAGGAAAGCTGAATAATTTAAAAATGAAGAATCGTAAAATTGAAGAAACAAAAAAATTAAAAATTAAAAAAATGCAAATCGCAAGATTGAAGAAACGAAAAACTGAAAAAATTGAAATTAAAAAAACAATTATAAAATCGGAACATTGAAAAATTACAGATTCATTTTTTTCAAAACAATCAATCTAGTGTATGGGGTAAAATACTGTCTCAAAAAGTTCTTGTTTCGAATTAAAAATTTTTTATAGTGACGCCAGGAAATTTTGGTAAAATTGAAACATCCAAAAGTTGGGAAATAAGTAAATTGAAAAAATTCGAAATAAAAAATTATAAAATCGGAACATTGAAAAACAAAAAAATTGTGGAAATAAAAAACCGAAACGAAAAATTGCAAATCGAAAAATTGAGGAAATCAAAAATTAAAAAATCAGTACCTACAAATTCTTCAAAAATAAAAATTGCAAACTCGAAAAATTGTAAAACTAAAGAAAATAAAAAACCGAAACGAAAAATTGCAAGCCAAAAATTTGAGGAAATGAAAAATAAAAATTCTACAAATTGAAAAATTGAAAATCGCTAACTCGATAAAATTTTAACTCGGAAAATTGAAAACTCTAAAAATTGAAGAAACAAGAAAAATGAAAAATTGAAAAATCGGAAATCGAAGAATTATAAAAGCGAAAAACTGAAAAATCTAAAAATTGTAACATCAAAAATTTGGAAAATAGGAAAGCTGAATAATTTAAAAATGAAGACTCGTAAAATTGAAGAAAGAAAAACAATGGAAAATTGAAAAAATGCAAATCGAAAGATTGAAGAAACGAAAAACTGAAAAAATTAGAATTAAAAGAACAGTTATAAAATCGGGAGATTGAAAATTGAAAAATTACAGATTCATTTTTATCAAAACAATAAATCTAGTGTATGGGGTAAAATACTATCTCAAAAAGTTCTGGTTTCGAATTAAAAAAAATTTATAGTCACGCCAGGAAATGTTGGTGTTTTTTCACTGTAGTCTAGCTAAGTGGCTGTGGGATTATGGAAAGCCGCGCAGAGGAGGCGGAGAAGTCTATTACTCCTCGTACTCTAAAAAAAGTCTCGCTTTTTCTAACGTAATGTCATTTAGATTTTTCCGCCACAAACCGACTTCCACAGTTTTTGCAGCATCCACTTCAGGAATAAAGACGCCGGCTACTTCAGTAATATTTTTCATATTAATAATTGTTCTTAGTACCTAATAAACGAAAAAATTTCAGTTTTTGCTTTTAAATTTTTTTCCAAACCCGTAAGATTGGGTTGAAATTATTTGAGTAATGTTTGCTATTCATTAATTCTTTGTTATATTTTATTACTACTTATGGAAAAAAATGTGTTCACCACGAATGAGTGAGCATTTCGTTAACACATCGGGATATGCATACTTGGCTATAAAATGCCCAGTTTATCTGAAAGGCTCAACAGGTTTTTTATAAATGATTTTAAGGGTGTAGTTGGCCATGGATTTCAAAATCCGTGATTTAATCATTCAAGAAACATCCTTAAAGGCTCACATTAAAGATGTAATCAACAGATTTATTCGAACTGGCAGTGTCAACAAAAATAAATCTCGTGGAAGATCTTCAGTATCTGACGAAGTTTATAATTTGAGACGACTTGCGCAGAATCCGCAAACATCTTTGACAAAATTTCCGCAGCAGTCAGGAGTTCCTGTTGGAACATGAAATTGAACAATGGGCATTGATGAATGGATGAAAGACCATTTTTGAAATTAAAAAAGAAGTGAAAATGTGCTTTGATGTTTAACCGCAATAAATTTGTTTCTTTTTATTGTAATAAATTAGTTTAATTTTTCGTCAGTTATACAGATGCGTGTGAAACTGAGAGGCGGCACGTGGTCGTGACCTATTTCGACCCTATAATCATTTATAAAAACCCTGTCTAACTTCCGTTTACATTTGTGCGGACTGTATTCATTTTTAATTTACAAACGCCAGAATGTGAAAAATTAACCCAAACGCCTTCGTCAAAAACATGTCCAAACTCCAAATATACTTCAGAACTTATAAAATTCGACCAAAATATGATTTCTTGATAAAATGTGATGGTTTCCTTGCTGTTTCCGAGCCCGTAGGGTGTCTGATTGGCTTAAAACCACAAGAAAACGCTTAAAAAGTAACGTTTCTGAAGTTTTTTAAGGAGTGAAGTAAGAATACCCAAGAAAATGGAAAACCTTGATATAGGCAACACAATATACAACTCCGCAATGTCAAGAACTGGCACGAGAAAACTATCCAAAAGAGAATCATCAGAATATTCAAAGAATGAAAAAACACAGAACACCGCAATGTGAATATAAAATAATGTAAATGATTTTTATTTTTTGGAATCCGATTGAAGAAAATGAATCACATTTTTAAGAAAGAAAGGTGTTTTGAAATTCTTCTAAGTAGGTTATCAAGATTTCTGTGTTTATAAATAACCGAAATACGATCCACAACTTTTCCGTTACCAATCAATATTTCTTCCCACGAATTGCTTCAGGGTGGTTCGGTGTGACATATTTAAACTAGTCTGGGTATTAATTACAAGTTCATAACGGAACTTATAGGTGATTTTGTAATCGGCTCGTTTAGAATTCTTCCGCTCGAGAACCGGCACAGTGACAGTGCTAACTTTCCCTACTTTGGATAACTGTATAAGGTTCCACCCGACTAAATTTCGTCGTCTTTTATATTGTATATTAATAAGTTTATTATGTATTAGAACGATCACAGTACATCTGTATGAATAAGATCAATGACCTTAAATATTGCATAACTACGTATAAAAACATACATAAATAAGATTACGCAGCAGAAGCAGCTTCCGCAACGACCCTGATAGCTTCCAAGGCTTCAGTACCAGTCGGTTGAATATAAGCCGCAGGTAAAACGAAACCGTATCGCCCATTATCTCTCAGTTCAATCGTGTAGGAATACTTGAACTTCGCCATGCCTTTGGCCCAGTCATCCGAACCTCCTGAAGCCGGATAGAGAGTGTTGGCGGCAGGTCCAATTGTGTAATGTGGACCTCCAGCTCTTTGAATAGCCTAAAAAGATTCGAATTAAACACGTTCCTTGTCGTGAAATCGAGCTATTTACCGATGCTATCCGTCTGGCTACATTTTCCAAGTCTTTGTAATCTGGCGGAACGACTCGGTCGTACCCCCACGGGTACAATATGTACTGTCCGTATGAATGGAAAGAAACATAAGCTTTCCAGTTGGCGCCTGAGTTGCTCTGGATGAAGTTCCTCACCGCTGAAGTTTCGGGTTCAGAGAAAGGACCACTGCCTCCATAGGTTTCTGTGCATGGGTTTCTAGAGGCACCTCTTCCACCCCACTTGTAGCTACAACCAGTACAAGGTTCATCGCAGTCTTTATTTTGTCGCAGAACCTACCCAAAGTTTCTGTTAAGGTCGACACCAGCGCAGGTTCCACCGATACCCCCACGGCCCCTGTTTTTCCTCCACAACCTATCCGTAGTGTGTGAGTACTCGTAACCATCGGGGTTCAAAACTGGCGTGATGTACCAGTCGATATTTCGAACGGCCGCTGGTTCATTTTCGAAGTTTGAGACAAACTGGTTGATGATGAAGGTGACTGTCGCTGGAGAAATCCACTCCCTGGCGTGTATGCCTCCATCAACCCAAACGGCTTTATTCCCCGGATTTCCGTTCGATATGCGCAAAAGCTTGATGGCTTTCCCTTGGACGGACTGACCGATGGTTTGGACGGTACACAGTTGTGGATACGTTTGGGCTAGATAGTCTAGATAGCCGTGGATGTCAGGCAGTCGGTGGTAGGCTTGCCAAGTGAGTCTGTGACCTTAAAAACGAAAAGAGAAAATGAGTCAGTGTCGCAGACTGTGTTGAGTGTCGGAAGTGCAATGAAAATTGTGTTTGGAAGAGATGAAAGTATGCCGTGGTGGCTAGTGATGCATACTAAGTAGTGTACAGTGCACTTATAAAGATGCATGTCGTGCGCTTTACATACGTAGATGCATGTGTTACGGACCCCAGTTTGCCGATGGCCAATATTCCAGTTTGTTGCCCAAAGAGGTAAGGCCTCTCCAGGCCAGTACGTATCTGTAGGGGAGTTTTCTAGCTGAAATTTGGTATTCTGAGAGTACTAATGTTCATAACTTTTTAAGTTAAATTAGAATACTTAGTTTGGAGTATTTTTAATACGTACGGTTGAGAAAGGATATTTTGTGAAGCGTCGAAATTGATCTATGTTTTAGATTTGTTCTAACTCTATCAGGTCAAGATATTTTTTTATGGATTAAGGATGTTGTAGAGTCCGCCAAGTCGTGAACATTGACTCTCTGTTGTTTCGTTCTCGGAAGCTACGTCTTTGACTATTACAATGTAAAATGTGTTCATGCACATCTGATTTATAGAACCTGTGTTACCATAATCCCAAACGGTTTATTGGTGATTTCCAATAAACAAAAAGTTAATGTTCACTGTTTGGTGGGCTTTACTTTAACAGTATCTTCCTATCTGACAAATGAACCCTAAAAAATATTATAAATATCTAACCAACGAAAAACAATAAAATAACAAATATTTAATAGCCTAGCCCATTATATTGTGCTAAAATGATATCAAAATTTGTGGTTTCAGAGGACTTTCGTAAGTTTGCAAGTTCCATAATTATTGAACTAAATAAAATAGATGCCGTACTATAATATTATACACGACAAATTATTTCGTCTGACTTGTACGTCGTCAACATCGAATGTGTGTTTATTCACTAGTTGATTAGAGCTGCTTTGTTTACTGATCACCTGAATATTTATTCTCACAATCGTATTGATGGTTCTTGGTTCTGTTAATTGGGTTTTGTTTTGTTTGATCCATGTAACAACCTTGGCATTCCGAGCGTTTTTTAGTGACAAAATCTTTTAATGTTTTTCGCGAAATTTGATGGGAATTTTTTTATCGCTATCTCTGTAATAAGAGTTTTTTTCCCTGGTTGACTTCAAATTTTCTACTTTATTTTCTGATACTTTTAAAATTTCTATTGCGGCTAAAGCGTGACTGGAATTGTAATTTAAAATCCTGTCTAAAGCTGTGGTTTTTCTAAACCAATTCATGGTATAGGTTCGGATTATCAGAGTGTGCAGAAATTGAATAGAATTAGTTTCTTTTCAGTTCTAAGTGTAGGTAACTGTGTATTTTATTAAACAAGGATAAGATATACGGGGTGTCCTTAAGCGCACGTTCCTCAATATCTCGATAAAAAATCGAAAAAATGTTTTACGATTTTTGATTATCATACATTAAAATTAGTTTAAACTGTACAGAGCGTTCTGTTTTTGAAACAACACAACTTAGTTTTTTTATATAGAACACCCTATAATTTTTACATACTTAGATTGGCTTCGTTTACAACTGTACTTTATTTTTGAAATTTTCATGCGATATTTCAGTTTTTTCAAATGGGATGTTCTGTATATTATTACTGTGTCATTTTTTGTTTCATTTGTGCCTTCCTAGGCTTCAAACTATGTAGTAGTTTATTTTTTAAATTCCTATGCGATGTTGCCACGTTATTCCAATTTTCCTCATTTTTTCACAAAAAATCGCAGTCGGATTATTTTTAAAATTTACGTTACAGTATTTTATGTAGAGGTAAGGCATGATACGTGTTTTCGTGTGGTATCAATGAAATTAAATTTTAATATACTAAATTTTTATAAAAAAATTCAAAAACATTACCATTTTGTAATATCGATATTTCAGTTTTTTCAAATGGAACGCCCTGTATTTTATTACTGCATGTCACTGAATTTTTTGTTCATTAGGCTTTTCCTAGGCTTCAAAACACTAGTTTATTGTTGAAATTTCTGTGCGATGTTGCCACATCATTCCAGTTTTTTGAAAAATTCAAAATGCAATTCACAAAAAAAACGCAATCGAATTATTTTTTTTTTTAACCTATGTTATAATATTTTATGTAAATGTAAACAGAGATACGTGCTTTGTTGTGGTATCAGTGATATTAAATTTTAATATATCAAATGTTTATTAAAAAAATCGAAAACAATACAATTTTCAAATATGTATCGATATTTCAGTTTTTTAAAATGGAACACTGGTATTTTATTACTGCATGTCACTTAATTTTTTTGTCTAATTGGTCTTTCCCTAGCATTCAAAACATTAGTATTTTTGAAATTTATATGCAATGTTTCAATGTTATTCCAATTTTCTTAAAATTTTTTGACAATGCAGGGGATTCACAAAAAAATCGCAAACGGATTATTTTAAAAATTTATGTTGCAGTATTTTATGCACAGGTAAACCATGGTACGTGCGTTGTTGTAGTATCAACGAAAATAAATTTTAATACACCAAATTTTTATAAAAAAATTCAAAAACATTACCATTTTGTAATATCGATATTTCAGTTTTTTCAAATGGAACGCCCTGTATTTTATTACTGCATGTCACTGAATTTTTTGTCTCATTAGGCTTTTCCTAGGCTTCAAAACACTAGTTTATTTTTGAAATTTCTGTGCGATGTTGCCACATCATTCCAGTTTTTTGAAAAATTCGTAAAAATGCAATTCACAAAAAAACACAATCGAATTATTTTTTTTTTAATCTATGTTATAATGTTTTATGTAAATGTAAACAGAGATACGTGCTTTGTTGTGGTATCAATGATATTAAATTTTAATATATCGAATGTTTATTAAAAAAATCGAAAACAATACAATTTTCAAATATCGATATTTCAGTTTTTTCAAATGGATTTAAATTAATTTTATTACTGCATGTCACTCAATTTTTTTGTCTAAGTTGTCTTTCCTAGGCTTCAAAACAGTAGTATTTTTGAAATTTCTATGCAATGTTGCAATGTTATTCCGATTTTCTTAAAATTTTTTGACAATGCAGGGGATTCACAAAAAATCGCAATCGGATTATTTTTAAAATTTATGTTACAGTACTTTATGCAGAGGTAAACCATGGTACGTACGTTGTTGTAGTATCAATGAAATTAAATTTTAATACACCAAATTGTAATATCATTATTTCAATTTTTTTAAATGGAACGCTTGATTTTATTACTGCATGTCACTGAATTTTTCGTTTCATTGTGGTTTCTGAAGGCTTCAAAACAGTAGTTTATTTTTGAAATTCCTAAGCGATGTTCCACGTTATTCCAATTTAAAAAAAAAATTTTGGAAATGTACTTCACAAAAAATTGCAGTCGGATTAATTTTAAAACCTGTGTTATAATATTTTTTGTAAATGTAAACAGAGGTACGTACTTTGTTGTGGTATCAATGTTATTAAATTTTAATATGTATATCGAATGTTTATAAAAAAATTTCAAAACAATACAATTTTCAAATAGCGATATTTCAGTTTTTTCAAATGGAACCCCTGTATTTTATTACTGCATGCCACTCAATTTTTTTGTCTAAGTGGTCTTTTCCTAGGTTTCAAAACAGTAGTATTTTTGAAATTCCTATGCAATATTGCCACGTTATTCCAATTTTCATATATTTTTTTTTTGGGTTCACAAAAAATCGCAATCGGATTATTTTTAAAATTTATTTTACAGAATTTTATGCAGAGGTAAACCATGGTACGTGCTTTGTTGTAGTATCAATGAAATTAAATTTTAATATACCAAGTATTTATAAAAAATTCAAAAACTTTACAATTTTCTAATATCGCAATTTCAGTTTTTTCAAATGGAACGCTTGATTTTATTATTGCATGTCACTGAATTTTTTGTTTCATTGTGGTTTCCGTAGGCTTCAAAACACTAGTTTATTTTTGAAATTCCTAAGCGATGTTCCACGTTATTCCAATTTAAAAAAAAATTTTTGGAAATGTACTTCACAAAAAATTGCAGTGGGATTAATTTTAAAATCTGTGTTATAATATTTTTTGGAAATGTAAACAGAGATACGTACTTTGTTGTGGTATCATTGTTATTAAATTTTAATATGTATATCGAATGTTTATAAACCAATTCAAAAACAATACAATTTTCAAATATCGATATTTCAGTTTTTTCAAATGGAACCCCTGTATTTTATTACTGGATGTCACTCAATTTTTTTGTCGAAGTGGTCTTTTCCTAGGCTTCAAAACAGTAGAATTTTTGAAATTCCTATGCAATGTTGTCACGTTATTCCAATTTTCATATATTTTTTTGGGTTCACAAAAAATCGCAATCAGATTATTTTCAAAATTTACGTTACAGTATTTTATGCAGAGGTAAACCATGGTACGTGCTTTGTTGTGGTATCAATGAGATTAAATTTTAATACACCAAGTGTTTATAAAAAATTCAAAAACATTACAATTTTCTAATATCGCAATTTCAGTTTTTTCAAATGGAACGCTTGATTTTATTACTGCATGTCACTGAATTTTTTGTTTCATTGTGGTTTCCGTAGGCTTCAAAACACTAGTTTATTTTTGAAATTCCTAAGCGATGTTCCACGTTATTCCAATTTAAAAAAAAAATTTTGGAAATGTACTTCACAAAAAATTGCAGTGGGATTAATTTTAAAATCTGTGTTATAATATTTTTTGGAAATGTAAACAGAGATACGTACTTTGTTGTGGTATCATTGTTATTAAATTTTAATATGTATATCGAATGTTTATAAACCAATTCAAAAACAATACAATTTTCAAATATCGATATTTCAGTTTTTTCAAATGGAACCCCTGTATTTTATTACTGGATGTCACTCAATTTTTTTGTCGAAGTGGTCTTTTCCTAGGCTTCAAAACAATAGAATTTTTGAAATTCCTATGCAATGTTGCCACGTTATTCCAATTTTCATTTATATATTTTTTTGGCAATGCAGGGAGTTCACAAAAAATCGCAATCGGATTATTTTTAAAATTTATGTTACAGTATTTTATGCAGAGGTAAACCATAGCACGTGCTTTGTTGTAAGATCAATGAAATTTAATTTTAATGTACCAAGTGTTTATAAAAAAATCAAAAACATTACAATTTTCTAATTCGCAATTTCAGTTTTTTCAAATGAAACGCCTGTATTTTATTACGGCATGTCACTGAATTTTTTGTTTCATTGGGCTTTTCCTTAGGCTTCAAAACAATAGTCTTTTTGATATTCCTATGCAATGTTGCCACATTGTTCCAACTTTCTTGATATTTTTTGGCAATGCAGGGGGTTCGCAAAAATCGGAATCGGATTATTTTTAAAATCGGTTAGAATATTTTATGTAAATGTAGACAGTGGTACGTGCCTTGTTTGTTGTGGTGACCATGAAATTAAGTTTTAATATACCGAGTGTTTATAAAGAATTCAAAAACAATACAATTTTCAAACATCGATATTTCAGTTTTTTCAAATGGAACACCTGTATTTTATTACTGCATGTTACTCAATTTTTTTGTCTAACTGGTCTTTTCCTAGGCTTCAAAATAACAGTATTCTTGAAATTCCTATGCACGTTATTCCAGTTTTCATATTTTTTTTGGGAATGCAGGAGTTCACAAAAAGTCGAAGTCGGATTATTGTTTAAATTTATGTTGCTTTGTTGTGGTACAATGAAATTAAATTTTAATATACCTAGTGTTAACAAAAAAACTCAAAAACATTACAATTTTCAAATATTGATATTTCAGTTTCAATTAGAACCTCTGTATTTCATTACTGCATGTCACACAATTTTTTGTCTCATTGTCCCCTTCTTAGACTTTAAAACAGAGTTTATTTTTAAAATTCCGGCGGGACGTTGCCATGTTATTTCAATTTTCTTTAAATTTTTTACCAATGCAATGGTTTACAAAAAAAAATGCAATCAATAGGTTTATTTTTAAATTTGTGTTATAATATTGTTTGGAGAGATAAGTAAAGATACTCGATTTATTTTGGAAAAAAAGGAGGCTCTTTAAAAAAATATATTACAATTTTCAAGTCTCAGTATTTCAGTTTTTTCATATAGAACGGCCTGTATTTTATTTTTGCATCTTATTTTGTTTTGTATTTCCTTTTTTTATCTAAATTTAATAGTTTCTGCGATTTTTCACTTTTTTAAGAGACACATGGACATACCGGAAGAAAAAAAAGCAAAAATTTAATGATTCACCCTGTATATGCATATTATGTCATACTAAATTAAGCAATTGTTGACACCAATAAATTGCTTGCAAATTCTAGTTCATTATAGCTTATTAATTGTTTACGATATTGTAAGCGATTTAGTCTAGTTTTTTTTTTTTTTGTCAAAAAAGAATTCCCCGTATTTTAGTTACAGTCAAATTAAAGTGCAACAAACATTTTAATACTATGTATATACACTTTTAATTCCGTCAGTAAACTCAAATATATCCAGTGGTGGCTTTGTTTTTGATATCTTGGAAAATCGGCATTGAAATAAAAAAAATCTAGTAAATAAGAATTCTTCAAGAAAGTTTCAGAATCAGCTATTTATCTCTGTAAATAAAAATCAAGCGAAATCAGGAAAAAATAATCTACGTACATAAATTTCATCCTCTCGCAAATTAGTCCCTCGACTTCACGCCTCGTATACTAAAACTGATGGTTATGCTTTAAAAAAAAAATAAAATGAAATGAGGCAGCTGAAAATAAACTTGAGATTAAAATTTGCGTATTTCTACTAAAACTTTTCAATTTTTTTCTGAAATGTAGGATGACGTTCCATAATACGAATATTTATCTTAATTTTGGTCCAAGTTGATTATTTTCAAATGATTTTAAATTATTATATTTTTTGCACAAATGTCTATGGCTTTCTGAATCTTAGTGGTAGGGTTTTAAGCCAGTGTATGGTGATGTGGCGGAGTCGAGTTTTTCTACATTCCGAGGAATTGTTACACGCATTAATTTTCGATTTACAAAAGTAAATAACTGAATGGAAACATAAAAATATGAACTGCGTCAGAAATAATTTCTGTGATTACTTACTGTAATAATGTATGATTCTTTTTTCAGTAAAACCAACCACAACTTTTGTATGTTTAAAGTTATGTCAACAATGACAGCAACGCGGTTTTAACGTATAATTATTAATTAAATCTCTTGTCTGATTCATTCAAGTACAACAATATGATAATTTTGGTTTTGATTTGATGGTTGTTACATTATATTAATTATACAAAAATTGCATACCTCTGCGATCATCAAGCTCCAAATCAGTCGGATTTTCTTCATCGATGGCCCTTTGCAGATCATCAATGACCACTTCAAACTGGATGTTATTTTCAGTTAACCTTTCCTTCACCTTATCTACGGAATCCGCCTTTACCAAAATATCGATCGAGGTGGTGTTGCCGCCCCACATGGAAATATCTTTAACAAAATTAACAACACGCTGTCTTTTATCTTTTCAATCATGTCCATTTGAATCCAAAAATACGACACAAACTCGGAAAAAATCCAGTAAGTGGTCTGACAACCTTATTAGAACAACTTTTTAGTTGTTTGCAAATATTTATATAATGTATACAAAAATATTCATTTTTTTTTTTTTGTTCACACCGTTAATGAGTTCTACTTTACTGTATCAAGCTCACTGTTTGAAATGGGTCTCTTACCCTTTTCGTCTCTCAGCTCCGCCAGAACCGAAATTTTCTCCTTGGTGATATCGAACGTCTTCCACAGTTGGCTCCCGTTGTACAAAACCCGCCCTTGAACTTCACCCTGATCTTCCGCCGCGTCCGTCGCGTTCGAGGACGGAGCTTCCGGCCTCGCCCGCCCCCGGCCGACCGCCAAAAGCAGACAAACGAACGTCAAACACTTCATTTCAATATTGAGGTGCGATCGGATGGCCGGCGATGGTTTTATATACGTGAGGATGAGGCGTGACCCGGTTCGTGAGGAACGGTACCGACGTGTTTTTTTCATTTCTTTTTTGTATGATTTTATGGGTTGAGCGCTTGTCGTTGTCAAATTAATTGTATTTTAATTAGGTGCGTGGAGTTAATTGGTGTTTTATCCGAATGGTGTTCTTCGCATTACGACTCTGTTATCGGTCGATGGAAGGGTTGATTGGAGAGCGGACAGTGTGGGTGTTTACGAGAGTTTTTGCTTGAGTACGTTTACGAAAGGCATTCGCTAATGGGTCGGTTTATTGGTTTACATTTTGTTTTGATCGGCGAAGAAACGAGATTTAATTTATTTTATTGGGTTTCTGGTTGAGAACGGTTTTCAGCCTACATTGGGTACGGGTTGCACGAACAATAGATTAATCTTAAGATCGGCGAGATGGGTCTGTTTAATACAGATTCCATTGATTTGTTTAGAATGTTAATTAAAAAAATTGGTCGATGGTTATTTTTCAGTTTTGAATTTTTCTATTTTTAGATTTTGCAATTTTTCGATTTTTCAGTTTTCCATTTCATGAATTTTGTGTTTCAGTTTTTTATTTTCTTTGTTTTTACAATTTTTTGTTTCTTCAATTTTACGACATGTAATTCTTTGAGTTTCCATTGATAAATTTTTCAGTTTTTCGATTTTTCAATTTTTGATCTGCAATTTTTCGTTTCAGTTTTTTATTTTCGTTATTTTTTTCAATGTGAAATTTGTCAATTTTTGGATTTTTCAATTTTTGTTTTCTCAGTTTGTTAAATTTTGATTTTAAATATGTAATATTAATTATAATTTTTAATCCTTCGATTTTTCAGTTTTTCCTTTCTTCGGTTTTTCAAGTCCTTGATTTCCAATTTTTAGATTTATGAAAATTTTCGCTTTGTTTTTTTATTTTTCATTTTTTATTTTTCAATCTTGCAATGTTTCCATTTTTTTTTTATTTGAAAATTTAAAAATCAAGTAATTGGAAAAGTTGAAAAATCCAATAATTGAAAAATGGAAAATTCTAAAATCGTAAAACTGAAAACCGAAAAATTGGAAAATGAGACATTGAAAATTTCATAAAATGAACAATTTCACATTGTAAAAAGGAAAAATTATAAAATTAAATATTGGATAACCGAATAACTGAAAAAGAAAGAAAACAAAAAACCGAAACGAAAAATCGAAATAAAACATTGAAAAGTTGGAAAATTAAAAAAACGGAAAATTTTCAAAATGAAAACTCGGAGGAGTTGCATGTCGTAAAATTTGAGGAACAAGAAAAAATGACAAATTGAAAAATTCCTAATCGAAAAATTTAAATCAAAAATTGAAGTCGAAAAAACAAAAAAATATAAACTCGGAACATTGAAAAATCAAAAAATTGTAAAAATTAAGGGAAAAACCGAAATTGTAAATCACTGCAATGGACAAATTGAAAAATCAAAAATTGAAAACTCGAGAAATTTTGAATCGAAAAATTTCAAAATCTAAAAAGTGAAGAAAAAAATGGTGAAAAATAAAAAAATCGAAAAGAAAAATTGCAAATCGAAAAATTCAAAAAAAAAACTATAAAATAGAAATATTGAAACGAGAAACTGCAAATCCAAAATTTAGTAAATGAAATAAATTTAAAATCGAATAATAGAAAAATAGAAACATTCTAAAATAGAAAAAATGAAAAACAGAAAAATTGAAGAAATGAATAATAAAAAAACTCAGTTGATAAAACAAAAAAATATATATAAAACATTGAAAAAATCGAAATTTACGGAAGTGTTCATTATCGTAATATTGAAGAAAAAAAATCGAAAAATTGCAAATCGAAAGAACGACAAATTGAAAAATCAATAAATTGAAAACTCAAGGAATTTTGATTCCAAAAATTGAAATCGAAAAAACAAAAAATTATAAAATCAGAACATTGAAAAATCCAAAAATTGTAAAATTAAAAAAGCGGAAAAGAAAAATTTCAAATCGAAAAACTGAAGAAACGAGGAATTGAAAAAATGAAAATTGAATAAACAAAAAATTAGAATTTCAATGATTTCATAATTTTTCGAATTCACAATTTTTGGTTTTTCTAATTATTCAGTTCATTAATTTTGTTCGATTTTTGAGTTTTCGGTGTTTTAATTTTTCGTTTCTTTAAATGTTCGATTTGCAATTTTGCATTTTTTCGTCTTTTCAGTTTTTCGATTATTCATTTTTTCCGACCTTGGTTTTTCGATTTTTCAATTTTTCGAATAAATAAAAAGAAAAATTGCAAAATTAAAAAATCAAAATGGAAAAAACGAATTTATATAAAATGAAAACTTTGAAAAATCTAGAAATTGGAAACCAAGAACTTGAAATATTGAAAAAACTAAAATTGAAAGATCAAAATATAAAAAATTAATAAAGTGCAAAACTGGAAAACGAAATATGAATTGTAAAATCCAAAAATTGAAAAATTGAAGGAACGAAAAATTGGAAAGTCGAAAAAATAAAAACTAAGAAACTGAAAAATTAAAAAATGAAAAATTGTACTGGCGAAAAATTTAAAAATTAACGTTGAAAAAACTAAAAATTATGAAAGCTAAACATTGAAAAATGAAAGAAAATTGAAAAACGAACAATTGTTATATCAAAAAATCATAAAACTGGAGAAAAAGGAAAAAGAAGAAATTGTGTTACTAAAAAATCCATTGAAGGTAAATAAATCCCGATTTTTCGAAAAATTATAACTAACGATTTTGCGAATTTTATTTTTTCTGATAACCTTTATAAGTTTAAGATATGTACGTACGTAATGTAAAGAAACATGCTACGCATTTCTTTCAAGTGAGTTTCTCCATAACAAAATTTTGTAATGCCATCAACATTTTTCCAAGAACACGTATATCAATTTAGATACATGCAGTGTAATACTAATAATAACAATACTCTATTCCCAAATTTTCCGAAAAATTGAGTGAGTCGTTCTTGATTAAATGAATACAATAAATTGCCTCATTCATTAATTTTTTGAGTCACTTGTATAAGTAATTCTAAAAACTATGAGTACAGTGATAAACCACAAATTTTGATTATCATTTTACCTGGTGATTTTTTTAATGTTCTACTCTAGTTACCCATGAAACAGCAGTAAAATTGAAAACACTGACGTAAACATCATGGGTAACTAGTACAGGAATTTTAAAAAATCACCCGATTTTGGAAGCATTCGTAAAATAAAGTAGCCACATACGACAGACTGACAGAAACAGGACCTACTTTTTCTTGTTCTAGGAACAGGTCGACAAAATAGTAAAATGAAACATTAGACTTATTTTCTAACATTTATTATTATTTTGCAAACTTTTTTCAACAGCCTGAGCAATAATTCTAACAAGAATCAAAACTTCATCACTTGACGGTTTAATAAACCGAGCTGGAAGAAGAAAACCGTATTTTCCGTAGTCGCCCAGTTCGATTGTGAAACTAAATTTAATCGCTTCACCTCCTCTAGCCCAATCTGTAGAACTCCCAAATGCTGCATATACAGTAGTCCCTATGGGGCCAACTGTATACGATTCACCTCCACCTTCGATGATCATCTATTTAAATAAAAATAAATAATTGATGAACGTACTTAATTTAACTCACCGTTGCTTATTAAACTTATTATATGTAATAAAATAATACCGAGGATTCCCACAGTTTCCGCCAGGTCGTAAACGCGAGTTGTAAACGAAAATAACGGGATGTTCAACAAGTTTGCAACTAATGTACACGGAAGTTTTTGCGTGCAGGTATAGATATGTTTGGGTGGGTCGTATAATATTTAATATCGCTTTAAAATAAACATTCAATTACTAAAGTTGTTATTTCATGTCTGGTAAGGAAGTTATTGTATTGTACTAAACTTTCTAAATATGAGCTCCTTTTCTTACCTAAACATAGTATACATTATTAGGGGTAAATTTATTTCGCTTACCTTAGCTGCTTGACTCCCTAGATCATTTAACTCTTTGTGATCTTCGATAACTCTGTCGGGCGAACCCCAAGGATAGACAATATACTGCCCATAGGAATGCACTGCTAAGTACCCAACCCACTGGATATTTGGATTATTAATAAAAAATTTAGCAACAGATGCGGTTTCAGGTTCCGAAAACGGTTTCCTTCCACTGTACAAATTACTGCACGGATCGTTCGACGACCCGTTGTTACTCCAGTCGTAACCCCAGTTTCGATTAAGATCAACTCCTATACAATTGCTTGTCATACTTTTTGCTGTATTTTTCCTCCACAATCTGTCCACATTGTACGTATACGTGTACCCATCAGGGTTCAAAACTGGTACAAAATACCAATCTAGATTTTTAATGTAGGAAGGTTCGTTGTCATAATTGCTAATCAATTGGTGTATGATGTAAGTGACGGAAGCTGGTGATATCCACTCTCTAGCGTGAATTCCACCTTCAACGAACATGGCTTTATTGTTGGGATTTCTGTTGGAAATTCGCAGGAGCTTAATGGGACGCGCTTCGACTGAGTTTCCAATTGTAATGACGGTACATAATTTAGGAAAAGTGGCCTCCAAATAGTGCAGATAGTCATAGATGTCTGCCAAGTTGTGGTAGTAATTCCAGGTCAGGCGGTAATCTTTATGTCCGTCAAGATTTTCCGGTGGTTTGGGATTTACTTCGTCTATAGCTTTTTGTACATCTTCGATTGAAACCTTGTACGTTTGGTTATTTTCGAGAAGCTTCTCTTTTACTTGGTTTAAGTATTCGTGGTGGATCATGGCATCGACTGTTTTAGAGGTTAGCATCCAAAGAGTTAAATCTATAAGAAGATCGGCGGTTTTATTATAATGAATAAATCGCACAGGTACTTACATTTTTCGTTCGCTAAAGTTTTTAATAGTTCTAGCGTGGTTTTGTTGTCGTTGGTGATTTTCCATAATTGGTTCCCATTGTAAGTAACTTTTTCTGTTGGATGGCTGGTAACCAAATATATGAAGTAAAGGCATGTGATGACAACTGGACCTTTCATTGTATCATCCGTCGCATGTGCATATCTCTTGATTTTATAGATGACTACTGACCTCGTTCCGTGATTCCGTTGGTTTTTAAATCGCAACAGTGTAGGAATGTATTAAGTATTAAGATAAGCGGTGTCAAGTGTCGCGTCGTTCTGAGATTCTTGCATCTGGTGCAGTGCGAATTAAAACTTTGTAAACCAGTTTGCATACGATCGTCTCGCGGTTGATAACACTTGCAGATAGGTCAAGACTCGATTTTTTGTTGCCAGTGTGAATTAATTATCTAAACCAAACATCTGTGCACTTTATCTTTGAAGCAATTTTCTTTAATACTAAACACAAAAAAAAAGGAAGTGACTTGTATTATCAGTTCACGATTTTTATACAGGGTGCCGCATCCAAGTCTGGATATAGGGAATTAACATGGGAATTGGTTTTTATTTTATAATATCTCCCCAGATCACTTTAAAGCTATTATTGAGTGATGCCTTTGTGGAGGTCGAAGAGGGCTATCGGCCAGTATTTTTTTCAAATCGTTGCATCGCGCTCATTCACTGTAAATAGTAATTTACGCAACTAGTTCGGGATAGCCTGCTTCCCGCATGAACGCTTGTTTGAGGCACGACCGAAGGGAGTGCCGCATTTGCGTGAATGCGGGAAGCAGGCTCACGAACGTGTTGTGTACAATATTTTTTGCGACGAATAAACCTTTAAACTGAAGAGATTAACTGTGAGTTATTTATAAACAACGCCATTGACAGCGCCGTCAACACGTCACAATGTTGACACTACCCGAGTATTTTAAGGTTACCATGGCAACGGGAAGTTAAATGCACGTGTGCGGGAAGTTCGACCTCCCGCACTCTGGTGAATGCGCGAAAGCTATCAAAAAAGGTCATGAGTGCAAAAAAGGTTTTAAAAATCGTATTTTGAAATTCACGCCCGATCCGAATTGTCGCGAAGTGTTCCGTCGTACTGTCGAAGTTCGGCGATCGCGTCTTTTCATTACCCATGCAAAATTCAAATGTCAAAGTGAAATTAGAAATTATTCTCATCAGAAATCAACGAACAAGTCAAACTGAATTATTTTATCGAGTGTGATGATTATTTTAGGACAAATTAAACGGAATAAATGCACAAATTGATCCATTCATTCGTCATAGTGCGTGACCCCGTCAAACGAGCCATCTCGAACTACAATCAGACCGTATCCAAAAAGCCCAAGATGAAGACTTCGAGCAGCTGGTCTTCCTCAAAACCCCATCAAAGCCCATCGGCAGCATTGTGACATTTTCTGGGAGCTCTCAAGCTAGGAATGTACTCGGGCTGCCTCACTCAGTAATCACTGAACGACTCAAATTGAATTATTTTATCCAATATGACGATTATTGTAGGTCAATTTAAACGGAATAAATGCACAAACTGCGCAAAATATTTTATTAGGTTATGTTGCTGGTGCTGATCGAGTCTTTATTACTAAAATCTCATTAAAATGCCATGTTCTACTGCGATTAGATGAAAAAGCGAGGACCCGCTTTTCTTATTGTGTGATGATAAGATTTACCATCAAAACAGCTGGCGCTTTTGAAGAGGCCCTTTTAATGAACCATTTAGATAACTACAAATAACAAAACTTAACAATTGTTGATGAATGAAGTAATGAAATATTGTACGAATCTGGAGAAGTATTGCACTATTTTCAAGAATTGCTCAAAAAGACTGCTCTCAGCAGCTGTACAGTAAGTAAGCCAATCTTCAAAACTCCTACGCGTGTTGATCAGCATTTTAGTTGAAATCTGAAGACAATATTGCTGGATTGCTTGTTTCAGCGCTTCTCTGTTTGTATAGCTTGTCTGAATGCAGATGGTCGTGAAGAAATCTCCAAAGAAAAAATTCTCAGGGGTTTAGATCCGGCGATTGCACAGGCCAATGGGGCGGTGCAAACTTTCCATTCCAACATTGCGGGAAAATACTGGTTCAAATAAACAACATTTATGCGAGCTGTATGGCTGGAGATTTGGTCCTGGATGTAAAAGACCTGCTGCAGATGCCGCACCCTTCGAGTCCCAGGAAGTATTTGCTGAGCTAGCATATTATCCTACTTCTGAGCATTCAATCCGGATTCGACGAAAAAAGGTGCAATGACATGATGTCCTAGAAGCCCCAGTCATACACTGACAATTGCACGCCATTGATAACGAAGGTCATGGACCACGTGAGGGTGGTGTAATGCTCAAATTTGATCGTTCTGACGATTATAACTTCCCTTAAGACCAAATGAACGTCAGTAAAACAAATGTTCCTCAAAAACTCTCCCATCAGCCTAGATTCTCTCAAGCGTTCCTTCGTAAAACTCTATATGTGAGAAGTAGTCCTCAGGCTTCAATTTTTTGTCATGATGCTTTTTGAAATTCTTCTATCTCATCTGTTTAAGATCCCTAGAAAACGTCGTGCCCACCTGATTTTATGTAATTTTTATCACCTTTGAAAATAAATGGAACTTTCTTTTGCGAAATATTATTTTTATTTTTGTTGTTGTTAACACAATAAACAAATAAAACAGTAATACAAAAGTTTCTGAATCCCAAAACACATTCGTAATAGAGAAAAATACTTTAAAATGTTGATGAGTCAATGTTCTACATTTCTCTCTCAAAAATTTCCTGTAATGAAGATGCTTCCTGGAGGCAAAAAATCCATCCCTGCTTAACGAATGTAAAATCAATTGACTTCCAATCTTTAGTGATTCCAAAAAAAAAGGGTGAAATTTATCCAAATTACCTACTAATTAAATTAACCGTTGAAGAACATGCAGGCCCCCGCTTTTTCATCTAATCGCAGTAGAACATAGCATAACCTAATAAAATTTTTTGTGCAGTTTGTGCATTTATTCCGTTTAAATTGACCTGCAATAAATCATCACACTGGATAAAATAATTCAGTTTGACTTGTTCGTTGATTTCTGATGAGAATAATTTCTAATTTCACTTTGACATTTGAATTTTGCATGGGTAATGAAAAGACGCGATCGCCGAACTTCGACAGTACGACGGAACACTTCGCGACAATTTGGATCGGGCGCGAATTTCAAAATACGATTTTTAAAACCTTTTTACAGTGAATGAGCGCGATGCAACGATTTGAAAAAAATACTGGCCGATAGCCCTCTTCGACCTCCACAAAGGCATCACTCAATAATAGCTTTAAAGTGATCTGGGGAGATATTATAAAATAAAAACCAATTCCCATGTTAATTCCCTATATCCAGACTTGGATGCGGCACCCTGTATAGTAGGGTTGACCATGAAAATCTAGTGAGTTTGTTGGTATTCGATGCAGAAGAATAAAAATTCCCTGAACTTCTTTCGTTAGATTATGTTTAATTAAATTAAAGGTTAAAAAATATGTCAGAAATATAAACATTGTTGCCGATGCTTTCAGTTTTCAGTAGCAATGACCAAGTTAACGGTCTCCATTTCTTATAAAGCATAAAACTTTACGCTACTTAAAACAGTTATTCGGCTTTTTGTAAGTGTTTATTTCATATGTAAGGAACAAACACTAAAATTTCACTTAAACATTGTTTTTATATGAATGGGGGTTCTACATACGACTATTGTCGCATGCCACATTTAGCATCTCATCTTCAATTCTCAATCATCAGTTCGTTCTGCTCGCCTAGTCTTCTTAGAAATGGAAATTTCGAGCTTTGTGAACAGCCCATTTCCATATCTTCCAACTTCTTTTTTCACTTTTCTAAGATTACTAACAGGGTTGGTAAAAGGCAACAACCTTGCTCTAGTGCTTTGATGGGTCTAGCTCTTCTGAAACATTTTTCGGGCCTTAAATTGAATGATTTATCTATATAGCTATTACTAATGCTTACGTAAGTGCTCTTTATTTGCTTTTACTAAGTACTTCCAAACCCTTATTAATAAGAACGTTACTATGCGTCTTCTCCAGGTCCATGAAGAGTTACAAAAAAAAAAAAATGAAAATGCAAATGCAAAATTTGGTGCAAAGTAACAACGTGGATGATCTAACTAAAATTATACTTATTTTGTTGTGCGTCAGGTAGTTTTTCACATACTACCTTGGTAAATTTAGAACGAAAGATGCGTAAAAATATCACCCCCCGACAAGCTACAATTCACTCCATTTCCATTATTTCGCTATGAAAATCTGTATCATCACCATCATTTTCAAATTCAGATTCTGAATCAGATTCAGCTGGCGAAATAATGAAAGGAGGTATAGATTCGTATGAAAGATTTCCCATATTTTTCCCAATCTGCCAAAATAAGTTTTTCACAATGTTTACAAAAATTTTGCCACATGCTTGGAGTACATTTAGAAAGCGCCTCAAGCCATAAATTCTCCACCCTGTTTTTTAATGAAGGTTAAGAATTTATATGCTTGTTGTAATAGTTCTTACAAAATCCCCACACCATTTCAATTGGATTATATTGACAATGGTACGGAGGTAATCTAAGAACTTCATGTCCACTTTCTCTTAATGTCTCGTCTACCAAATATCTTTTTTTTCTATTGCTTCTGAAGGGTTTAATTAAATCCCACAACTGCATCTTCGAAATTTTTTTGTCAAATTCAACACTATGTTTAAAGAGCCATTCCTGGATCTCACATTTTTTTACCAGAAAAAGTAGGTGGTTTCTCCAACTGAACCGAATGATACGGTGCATTGTCTAAAACCACCACACATTTTTGGTTCAACTTTGCCAAAGCAGGAATGAGCTGATTAACCACCCAATTTTGAAAAATTGTCCCGTCCATCGTTTTATGATAGTCTCTATCGTTATTTTTTGAATTTAAAAAATTGTTACAACCATCTAAGAACCCCGTTGAACAACCCGCGTGGAGAATAGTAAACCTTGATACTTCACTTTTAATTTTGGTGGGATTGCTTTTTAAATCAGTATCGTGCACCCAGCGACGAATGAACGAACCATTTTAATAGATCCATGTTTCATCCAAATACACGAAAGTCAAATTTTCACAAGAATTTAGAAACTGTAAATATGTTCTCAGAAAAGTAATTTTGGCTGCAACGACAGGTTTTTGTTCAGATAGAATTTTTGCGACCATTTACTTCCCCGTTTTTATAACCCATTGACTTAAGAATTTTGTATAATATGGTTCGCTCGCCTTTAAATTCCAACTGTTCCCTAGAATATGCCAAAAGAGTATCTACAGCGAAATATTCGTTTGTTTTTTTTCATTAAGTTGCCAAATTTGTCGTTGCAGGTCTTTCCGAAACATATAATTGGTAAATAAATCCGTTGGTTTTCGCTTGCCAGATAGTGATGTTTTTAAATTTTGGTCCCTGTTGATAAAATTTTCGCCACAGTTGATGTTCCCACCTATGAGAAAAAAAAAATAAAAAAATATTTTACAGCGTATTTTTACATTATAGAAAATATGTTCGAGACCCTCATAGTTACTTCTTCGAAAGAAAGATCGGACCTGTCTTTTCGAAACTGCACGCAATGTTAAAATCGCAGCTGGATTGTCGCATCCGCCTAGGTTTGTTGATTATAATTACTATTGTCAGAAAATGCAATGTCGTCGATTTGTAATGATTTTAGAAATAGTTATTCAGAGTAGTAATCTGGTGTGCGGAATGTCAAATTGTATAAAATTTAATGTATGTTTCTTCAAAAAAAAGCATAGGTTTTGTATACTAATTTATTTTAATAGTTGAAATACAGGCTAGTTATTAATGATTTGTGCCATAGTTCTAACTGTAATTAATGCTTCCTTGGTAGTAACTGTAATGAACTCCGCTGGAAGTATAAATCCGTGATCTCCCTTATCTCTTAGTTCTATCGAATAAGGGTATTTAATAGCTTGAGAACCTCTAGCCCAATCCATTGAAATGCCTGATGCTTCATAGATGACTGTTCCCGCTGGACCAACAGTGTAGTTTTCTCCACCGGCACTCACTATATTCTGTTACAAAAATTGTGAACAAAAAGTCTAATCTCTAAATCTTCTTATCAAAACATCCGTACCAAAAGGAAATTTAGATTTCACTTACCTTCGCTGCTTGAATCCCTACATCATTTAGCTCCCGGTGATCTTCCACAATTACATTGGGAGCACCCCATGGGTAAACAATATTTTGCCCGTAGGAATGCACCGATAAGTATCCAACCCACTGAATGTTTGGATTATTAATAAAAAAATTAGCAATATTGGCGGTTTCAGGTTCCGAAAACGGTTTCGTCCCCCTGTACGTATCACTACAAGGATCGCTCGACGACCCGCTCTTGCCCCAATCGTACCCCCAGTTCCTATTCAGATCAACTCCTACACAGTTGCTTATCTTGTTTTTTGCTCTATTCTTTCTCCACAATCTGTCCACATTGTGCGAATATTCATATCCATCAGGGTTCAAAACTGGTACAAAATACCAGTCGAGATTTTTAATGTAAGATGCTTCGTTGTCATAATTACTAGTTAATTGACTTATGATGTAAGTGACGGAAGCTGGCGATATCCACTCTCTAGCGTGAATTCCACCTTCAACGAACATCGCTTTATTGTTGGGATTTCTGTTCGAAATTCGCAGGAGCTTAATGGGACGCCCTTCAACTGAGCTTCCAATTGTACTGACGGTACATATTGTAGGGAAAATAACCTCCAAATAGTTCAGATAGTCGTAAATGTCGTCCAAGTTGTGGTAGTGATTCCACGTGAGACGGTAGCCTTTACGTTCGTCAAGATCTTCCTGTGGTTTGGGATTTGCTTCGTCTATAGCTTTTTGGATGTCTTCGACTGAAACCTCGTACTTCTGGTTGTTTTCGAGAAGTTTCTCTTTCACATGGTTTAGGTGTTTGTGGTCGACCATAGCGTCGATTTTTTTAGCGTTTAGCTTCCAAAGAGTTAAATCTTCAAGAAGAAAGGGGGTTCATCATAAATAATAAATCACACATATGCTTACATTTTTCTTTCGCTAAAGTTTTTAATAGTTTCAACGTGGTTTTGTTGTCGTTGGTGATTTTCCATAATTGGTTCCCACTGTAAGTAACTTTTTCTGTTGTATGACTTGTGGTAAGATATATAAGGTGACGGCAAATGATGACAGCTGGACCTTTCATTGTATTGTCTGTTATTATCCATTCACGATCTTTATATAGTAAAGTAGGCTTTGATATTTTTTCTTTAAGTTGGATAAACTGATTCGATGATTTAGTTTTTTGTTTCAGTAATCTGATTTACATTTGCTTTGAGCTGGATTGCCACTTTTCTACTTCATTTATTAGATCAGAATTATTAGACGCAATTTTTTAATCAAGCAGACAAATGTTTTGATTTCGTTAGGATAGATAATTTGTCATTGTGACAGATTCACAGATCATTGCGACATTATTTAAAAAGAAAATGCCTAAAATAGTTTTAATGCAACAAAAAATTGCAATAAAAAGATGTTTTTTGCAGTTTCGAAAAGACAGGCCCGATCTTTCTTTCGAAGAAGTAACTATGAGGGTCTCGAACATATTTTCTGTAATGTAAAATATTTTTTTATTTTTTTTTCTCATAGGTGGGAACATCAACTGTGGCGAAAATTTTATCAACAGGGTACCAAAATTTTAAAACATCACTATCTGGCAAGCGAAAACCAACGGATTTTTTTAGAAATTATATGTTTCGGAAAGACCTGCAACGACAAATTTGCAAATTAATGAAAAAAAAACCGAATATTTCACTGTACATACTCTTTTGGCATACTCTAGGGAACCATTTGGAATTTAAAGGGGGCCCAACCACATTATACAAAATTCTTAAGTCAATGGGTTATAAACACAGGAAAATAAATGGTCGCAAAATTCTATGTGAACAAAAACATGTCGTTGCAGCCAAAATTACTTTTTTGAGAACATATTTACAGTTTCTAAATTCTTGTGAAAATTTGACTTTCGTGTATTTGGATGAAACATGGATCTATCAAAATGGTTCGTCCATTTGTCGCTGGGTGCACGATACTGATCTAAAAAGCAATCCCACCAACATTAAAAGTGACGGATCAAGATTTACTATTCTCCACACGGGTTGTTCAACGGGGTTCTTGGGTGGTTGTAACAATTTTTACTTCCCGAGCGTAAGCAAAGGAAGTATTGTAATCGAGTCCGTCGGCCGACTCTCTACTTTTACGTTTTCTCGATCTTTCATGACCCCTAGAAGACGAAGAAATAGGTCTCCCATTTCCGTCTGTCTGTCCGTCTGTCCGTCTGTCCGTCCGTCTGTCCGTCTGTCCGTCTGTTGTCACGGATTTTTATTAGACAGATAATCTCCGAAAGTACTCGACCGATTGTTGTGAAATTTTGTACTTATATTAAGAATATCATGTAGATGGTAAAACGCTAACCAAAATTTGTCGAATCATCCCCACCACTAAAGCGATGACGTCACTTCAAAATTGTACATAGTAAATGGGTTTTCAATTGTATAAAATAACATAGTCCTACACATGTAGTTTACAACTCTGAATCGACTTTTCACTCGAAACGTCCAGATTTTTGGAAAAAAAATCAAAATTATAAAACAACATTTTGAAATTTAATTTTTAATCTGCTAACCAGAATGCTTTGAAATGTTGCAGATGTTTTAAGGCTATAAAGAGCATCATAAATCTTTAGTCAAAAAATATTTGCTTATCCCCTCCAAAAACTTGATGACGTCAGCTCAAAAGTTTGTGGAATAAATCATATCTAAAATGTACAAAATATGATGAGTCTGTACTTGTGAACTATCACTCCATTAATATTTTTTGGATTTGCATATACAGGGTGACTCAAAAAAATTAATGAATGCGTAAATATATTTTATTGATTTAATCAGGAACTACAAAACCGAATGCTCTGAAATCTTGCAGATGTTTTAAGGTCATAAAGAGCATAATAAATGTTTAGTCAAAATATATTTGCTTATCCCCTCCAAAAACTTGATGACGTCAGCTCGAAAGTTTGCCGAATAAATCATATCTAAAATGTACAAAATATGATGACCCTGTACTTGTCATTTATCACTCCATTCATATTTTTTGGATTTGCATATACAGAGTGACTCAAAAAAATTAATGAATGCGTAAATTTATTTTATTGATTTAATCAGGAACTACAAAACCGAATGCTTTGAAATCTTGCAGATGTTTTAAGGTTATAAAGAGCATAATAAATTTTTAGTCAAAATATATTTGGTTATCTTCTACAAAAAACTGATGACGTCAGCTCAAAAGTTTGCCGAATAAATCGTATCTAAAATGTACAAAATATGATGAGTCTGTACTTGTGATTTATCATTCCATTCATATTTTTGGATTTGCATATGCAGGGTGACTCAAAAAAATTAATGAAGGCGTGAATTTATTTTATTGATTTAATCAGGAACTACAAAACCGAATGCTTTGAAATCTTGCAGATGTTTTAAGGTTATAAAGAGCATAATAAATTTTTAGTCAAAATATATTTGGTTATCTTCTACAAAAAACTGATGACGTCAGCTCAAAAGTTTGCCGAATAAATCGTATCTAAAATGTACAAAATATGATGAGTCTGTACTTGTGATTTATCATTCCATTCTAATTTTTTAGATTTTCTTAAGAGGTGGTTCAAAAAAATTAATGAAGTCAATTTATTTTATTGATTAAATTAAAGGCAACACTTATTATTAGTATTACACCCCAACCAACCCAATTTGGTAGACACAAAATTTGTTAAAGGAAAAACTCGGTTGAAACATTGGGTAGCACGCTTATTTACATCGACTTTAACATTACAGACCTGCATTTGTTTTATGCGTTCACTTGATTCCGCGAATGTGAAATAGACATGTTTATAATCAACCAATTGTGAATTTCACCGTCAAGAATTAAAATAAAACCCAATGTTTTATATAATAAGCGGAAGTCGAAGCAATAAAACCGACGGTCGTTTTGTTTACAGTTTCTGTGTTTGGCTCTCACGTATGCTGTTACGCCTGTCATCTTAAATTAACAATGTTTATACATACACGATTTTCAGTTGCCTCTGATACGTAGGTATACGTGAGTAAATTGTTTCGTTATTTTATTGATTATTACAAATCAATATTCAAACGACCCAATTCATTTTCCCGAAAATTTGAGAATATAATAATTTTATTCTTAGTATTACACTACATCTATCCCAACTGATATACGTGTCCTTGCAAAAATGTTGATGACGTCATCGCAATTTTTTTTTAAATTCCCACTACTAAAATGTAATGAGAAAAAAAACACAATAGGCATGCAGTCGTCAAGTTTCCGACAGCGAGGGAAGTACTGTCTAAACTCTTTAGACCAATTTTTTAAATTCAAAAAATAACCATAGAGACTATCATAAAACGATGGACGGGACAATTTTTCAAAATTGGGTGGTTAATCCGCTCATTCCTGCTATGGCAAAGTTGAACCAAAAATGTGTGGTGGTTTTAGACATTATCATTCGGTTCAGTTGGATAAATCACCCACTTTTTCTAGTAAAAAATGTGAAATGCAGGAATACATCTTTAAACATAGTGATGAATTTGACAAAAAATGTTCGAAGAAACAGTTGTGGGATTTAATTAAACCTTTCAGAAGCAATAGAAAAAAAAGATATTTGGTAGACGAGACATTAAGAGAAAGTGGACATAAAGTTCTTGGATTACCTCCGTACCATTGTCAATATAATCCAATTGGAATGGCGTGGGGATTTTGTAAGAACTATTACAACAAGCATATAAATTCTCAACCTTCATTAAAAAATAGGGTGGAGAATTTATGGCTTGAGGCGCTTTCTAAATGTACTCCAAGCATGTGGCAACATTTTTGTAAACATTGTGAAAAACTTATTTTGGCAGATTGGGAAAAAATATGGGAAATCTTTCGTACAAATCTATACCTCCTTTCATTATTTCGCTAGGTGAATCTGATTCAGAATCTGAATTTGAAAATGACGGTGATGATACAGATTTTCATAGCGAAATAATAGAAATGGAGTGAAATGTAGCTTGTCGGGGGGGTGATATTTTTACGCATCTTTCGTTCTAAATTTACCAAGGTAGTATGTGAAAAACTACCTGACGTACAACAAAATAAGTATAATTTTAGTTAGATCATCCACGTTGTTACTTTGCACCAAATTTTAAGCATTTTCTTTTTTTTTTGTAAGTCTTCATGGACCTGGAGAAGGGGTACAGTAACGTTCTTATTAATAAGCGTTTGGAAATACTTAGTAAAAGCAAATAAAGAGCACTTACGTAAGCATTAGTAATAGCTATATAGATAAATCATTCAATTTAAGGCCGGAAAAATGTTTCAGAAGAGCTAAACCCATCAAAGCACTAGAGCAAGGTTGTTGTCTTTTACCAACCCTTTTAGTAATCTTAGAAAAGTGAAAAAAGAAGTTGGAAGATATGGAAATCGGCTGTTCACAAAGGTCGAAATTTCCATTTCTAAGAAGAGTGGGCGAAGAGAACGAACTGATGATTAAGAATTAAAGATGAAATGTTAAATGTGGCATGCGACAATAGTCGTATGTAGAATCCCCAATCATATAAAAACAATGTTTAAGTGAAATTTTAGTGTTTGTTCCTTGCATATGAAATAAACACTTACAAAAAGTCGAATAACTGTTTTAAATAGCTTAAAGTTTTATGCTTTCTAAGAAATCGATACCGTTAACTTGGTCATTGCTACTGAAAACTGACAGTACCGGCAACAATGTTTATATTTCTGCCATATTTTTTAACCTTTAATTTAATAAAACATAACCTAACGAAAAAAGTTCAGTGAATTTTTATTCTTCTGCATCGAATACCAACAGACTCACTAGATTTTCATGGCCAACCCTACTATATAAAGATCGTGAACGGATAATACATGTGCATGTCTCTTGATTTAATAGATGAATACAAATTTGTTGAGTGGCTTGGTTTTCGATTGCTAGAAGTGTAGTAAATTTACAAAAATCGGGAATGAAACAAATGGATATAAAATAAGCCAAGTATTAAAAGATAAATGAGAATGACTGGGATTTTGTGGCTTTATGGTTGATAAAATTTCTAGAAGTATGTACATTAAGTACCTACACCTGGTACATTAATTTCAATATTAGAAGAAAATTTTTCAGACCTCTTGGGCTCACTAGATTGCTTAAATTTTTTTGTACATGTATTTCAAAAAAACAGCCTCTATAAAAATTTAAAAAAAGTCATCAATACAAAAAGAAACGGAATTAATTGTAATAAAACAGTAATACAAAAGTTTCTAAATCCCAAAACACATTTGTAATAGAGAAAAATACTTTAAAATGTTGATGAGTCAATGTTCTACATTTCTCTCTCAAAAATTTCCTGTAATGAAGATGCTTCCTGGAGGCAAAAAATCCATCCTTGCTTAACGAATGTAAAATCAATTGACTTCCAATCTTTAGTGATTCCAAAAAAAAGGGTGAAATTTATCCAAATTACCTACTAATTAAATTAACCGTTGAAGAACGTGCAGGCCTCCGCTTTTTCATCTAATCGCAGTAGAACATAGCATAACCTAATAAAATATTTTGTGCAGTTTGTGCATTTATTCCGTTTAAATTGACCTACAATAATCGTCATATTGGATAAAATAATTCAATTTGAGTCGTTCAGTGATTACTGAGTGAGGCAGCCCGAGTACATTCCTAGCTTGAGGGCTCCCAGAAAATGTCACAATGCTGCCGATGAGCTTTGATGGGGTTTTGAGGAAGACCAGCTGCTCGAAGTCTTCATCTTGGGCTTTTTGGATACGGTCTGATTGTAGTTCGAGATGGCTCGTTTGACGTGGTCGCGCACTATGACGAATGAATGGATCAATTTGTGCATTTATTCCGTTTAATTTGTCCTACAATAATCATCACACTGTATAAAATAATTCAGTTTGACTTGTTCGTTGATTTCTGATGAGAATAATTTCTAATTTCACTTTGACATTTGAATTTTGCATGGGTAATGAAAAGATGCGATCGCCGAACTTCGACAGTACGACGGAACACTTCGCGACAATTCGGATCGGGTGCGAATTTCAAAATACGATTTTTAAAACCTTTTTACAGTGAATGAGCGCGATGCAAAGATTTGAAAAAAATACTGGCCGATAGCCCTCTTCGACCTCCACAAAGGCATCACTCAATAATAACTTTAAAATGATCTGGGGAGATATTATAAAATAAAAACCAATTCCCATGTTAATTCCCTATATCCAGACTTGGATGCGGCACCCTGTATATCCGTGATCTCCTTTGTCTCTTAATTCTATCGTGAAAGCGTATTTAATCGCTTGAGAACCTCTGGCCCAGTCCGATGAAATTCCTGATGCTTCATAGATGAGTGGTCCTGCTGGACCAACAGCATAGGTTTCGCCACCGGCACTCTGTATGTTCTACCAAAAAAATATGAACGGATAGATATCAAACCTTTTGTTTACTCATACTAAAATTCTGCGGGTATTGTGAAAAACAATATCTCATTTCTAAATGTCACCTACTTTTCTTATCTAAACAAGTGTGTAATAAATTGGAAATTTTCATTTCGATTACCTTGGCTGCTTGCATCCCTACATCAGTTAACTCTTCGTGATCTTCCACAATTCTGTTGAGAGCACCCCATACTGCCCATAGGAATGCACTGCTAAATACCCACGAAAACGGTTTCCTCCCTCTGTACGCTTTGTTGCAAGGATCAGTCGACGACCCGTTGTTACCCCAATCATACCCCCAGTTCCTATCAAGATCGACACCTATGCAATCGCTTATCTTGCTTTTTGCTCTATTCTTTCTCCACAATCTGTCCACATTATACGAATATATGTATCCATCAGAGTTCAAAACTGGTACAAAATACCAATCCAAGTTTTTAATATAAGACGGTTCGTCGTCATAATTGCTAATTAATTGGTTTATGATGTAAGTGACGGCAGCTGGCGATATCCACTCTCTAGGGTGAATTCCACCTTCAACGAATATAGCTTTATTGTTGGGATTTCTGTTCGAAATTCGCAGGAGCTTAATGGGACGCCCTTCGACTGAGTCTCCAATTGTAGTGACGGTACATAATTTAGGAAAACTGGTCTCCAAGTAGTGCAAGTAGTCGTAGATGTCGTCCAAGTTGTGGTAGTAATTCCACGTGAGACGATAGCCTTTACGTCCGTCAATATCTTCCTGTGGTTTGGGATTTGCTTCGTCTATAGTCTTTTGTACGTCTTCGATTGCAACCTCGTACTTTTGGTTGTTTTCGAGGAGTTTCTCTTTAACTTGGGTTACGTGTTTGTGGTTGATTATGGCGTCGATTTTTTTAGCGTTTAATGCCCAAAGAGTTAAGTCTACAAAAACCAAAGAGGTTTTATTATAAATAATAAATCATACAGGTACTTACATTTTTCTTTCTCTAAACTTTTTAATAGATTAAGAGTGGTTTTGTTGTCGTTGGTGATTTTCCATAACTGGTCCTCATTGTAAATAACTTTTTCTGTTGGATGGCTAGTGGCTAGATATATCAAGTAAAGGCATGTGATGACAACTGGACCTGTCATTGTACTATCTGTCGCATGTCCGCTTCTCTTAATTTTATAGATAAATATTGACCTGATTGCAAGGTTCCGTTGGTTTTTAATTGGCAGTGGAAAACGCCATAAATTTACACAAATCAGAACTGGAAAAAATGAAATATTTAAGTAGTAAGATAAATGGCAAATGGAAATTTATAGTTAAGCGGAAGTTCGACTCAGCATCGCATCGGTCGTTTCGAAGCAAACAACATTTGCAGATAAATCAAGATTGGGTGATTTTATTTATTATCCAAAATCAACTTCTGTGCACGTTATGTTGGAACGGATTGTAATTAATTTAATACTGTATTAAAATAGTATATTATTAGCCAAGATTGCAAAGGCAAGTGGCTTTGCAACAGTGGTTAATATACTATTTTTTTCATTATTAGAAACCACAAGACAACAAATTGAAAAAATAAACGTTCAATTTTTTGACGCAACATGATTTTGTTTTGATTTCTAATCAAACTTAATCTAAATCTTTAACACAAAGAAAACCGTTTACACTTGTCGCTGAATTATTCAATTTGTCTTCTACCCTCTACAACTACCACGCGTATACTCAAGTAATGTTAGGAGCATTTATTCATTTTTTAAGAAATAATCACATCAAGTATTGCGTACATAACCTCAATCTTCTTTTTGAACCCGTGGTCGCAAAAGTTGAATTTGCTACCCCTAAATGAGTTGACATTTGCATGCTTCATGGCTGCTAGTGAAAAAAAAAATGTTAAAGAAGAGACGACTTAATGTAGAAATTGACTTACTAATCAACGTATCAAATAATAAATTTGATATTGACAATAATCGTTTATTATAAAAGTAACGCACTGGAACAAAGTGCCTATTTTTATTAATACATACCAAAATCCGTGTATCCTGTATAAGCAAAGCTAAAAAATGAGGTTATTAATTTGATCAGTAAAAAATTGGTCTAAAGAGTTTAGACAGTACTTCCCTCGCTGTCGGAAACTTGACGACTGCATGCCTATTGTGTTTTTTTTTTCTCATTACATTTTTGTAGTGGGAATTTAAAAAAAAATGTGATGACGTCATCAACATTTTTGCAAGGACACGTATATCAGTTGGGATAGATGTAGTGTAATACTAAGAATAAAATTATTGTATTCCCAAATTTTCGGGAAAATGAATTGGGTCGTTTTGAATATTGATTTCTTATAATCAATAAAATAACGAAACAATTTACTCAGGTATATGGCGCCTTTTTTTGAACCACCTCTTAAGAAAATCTAAAAAATATGAATGGAATGATATATCACAAGTACAAACTCATCATATTTTTTGCATTTTAGATAGGATTTATTCAGCAAAATTTAAGGGTGACGTCATCAATTTTTTTAGGAGGGATGAACAAATACATTTTGAACAAAAGTTTACCATGCTTATAATAACTTTAAAATATTCCCAAGATTTCAAAGCATTCGGTTTTGTAATTCCTGATTAAATCGATAAAATAAATTCACGCCTTCATTAATTTTTTTGAGTCACCCTGCATATGCAAATCCAAAAATATGAATGGAATGATAAATCACAAGTACAGACTCATCATATTTTGTACAATTTAGATACGATTTATTCGGCAAACTTTTGAGCTGACGTCATCAGTTTTTTGTAGAAGATAACCAAATATATTTTGACTAAAAATTTATTATGCTCTTTATAACCTTAAAACATCTGCAAGATTTCAAAGCATTTGGTTTTGTAGTTTCTGATTAAATCAATAAAATAAATTTACGCTTTCATTTATTTTCTTGAATCACCCTGTATATGCAAATCCAAAAAATATGAATGGAGTGATAGATCACAAGTACAGACTGATCATATTTTGTGCATTTTAGATATGATTTATTCGGCAAATTTTCGAGCTGACGTCATCAAGTTTTTGGAAGGGATAAGCAAATATATTTTGACTAAACATTTATTATGCTCTTTATAACCTTAAAACATCTGCAAGATGTCAGAGCATTCCGTTTTGTAGTTCCTGATTAAATCAATAAAATATATTTACGCATTCATTAATTTTTTTGAGTCACTCTGTATATGCAAATCCAAAAAATATGAATGGAGTGATAGATCACAAGTACAGACTGATCATATTTTGTGCATTTTAGATATGATTTATTCGGCAAATTTTCGAGCTGACGTCATCAAGTTTTTGGAAGGGATAAGCAAATATATTTTGACTAAACATTTATTATGCTCTTTATAACCTTAAAACATCTGCAAGATGTCAGAGCATTCCGTTTTGTAGTTCCTGATTAAATCAATAAAATATATTTACGCATTCATTAATTTTTTTGAGTCACTCTGTATATGCAAATCCAAAAAATATGAATGGAGTGATAAATGACAAGTACAGGCTCATCATATTTTGTACATTTTAGATATGATTTATTCGGCAAACTTTCGAGCTGACGTCATCAAGTTTTTGGAGGGGATAAGCAAATATATTTTGACTAAACATTTATTATGCTCTTTATAACCTTAAAACATCTGCAAGATGTCAGAGCATTCCGTTTTGTAGTTCCTGATTAATTAAATCAATAAAATATATTTGCGCATTCATTAATTTTTTTGAGTCACTCTGTATATGCAAATCCAAAAAATATGAATGGAGTGATAAATGACAAGTACAGGCTCATCATATTTTGTACATTTTAGATATGATTTATTCGGCAAACTTTCGAGCTGACGTCATCAAGTTTTTGGAGGGGATAAGCAAATATATTTTGACTAAACATTTATTATGCTCTTTATGACCTTAAAACATCTGCAAGATTTCAGAGCATTCGGTTTTGTAGTTCCTGATTAAATCAATAAAATATATTTACGCATTCATTAATTTTTTTGAGTCACCCTGTATATGCAAATCCAAAAAATATGAATGGAGTGATAGATCACAAGTACAGACTCATCATATTTTGTACATTTTAGATATGATTTATTCCACAAACTTTTGAGCTGACGTCATCAAGTTTTTGGAGGGGATAAGCAAATATTTTTTGACTAAAGATTTATGATGCTCTTTATAGCCTTAAAACATCTGCAACATTTCAAAGCATTCTGGTTAGCAGATTAAAAATTAAATTTCAAAATGTTGTTTTATAATTTTGATTTTTTTTCCAAAAATCTGGACGTTTCGGGTGAAAAGTCGATTCAGAGTTGTAAACTACATGTGTAGGACTATGTTATTTTATACAATTGAAAACCCATTTACTATGTACAATTTTGAAGTGACGTCATCGCTTTAGTGGTGGGGATGATTAGACAAATTTTGGTTAGCGTTTTACCATCTACATGATATTCTTAATATAAGTACAAAATTTCACAACAATCGGTCGAGTACTTTCGGAGATTATCTGTCTAATAAAAATCCGGGACAACAGACGGACAGACGGACAGACGGACGGACAGACGGACAGACGGACGGACGGACGGACAGACGGACAGACAGACGGAAATGGGAGACCTATTTCTTCGTCTTCTAGGGGTCATGAAAGATCGAGAAAACGTAAAAGTAGAGAGTCGGCCGACGGACTCGATTACAATACTTCCTTTGCTTACGCTCGGGAAGTAAAAATTGGTCGAAGGCTATAAGTATAATCCTACAATCCAGCTCTTCAAAAAAATTATAAAATGTGATTTTTAGTTTTGTGATAACCGCTGTAAAGTAGAAACCAGAGGCATAAATAACACCCTTGTCCTTCAGCGCTAGATAACAGCAGTCTGAAGCCCAAGTGTTTATTTAAGTTTATACATCGAAAAAATAGTAGAAATTAGTTTCATTTGAATGAGTTTATCTCGTGACTCGACAAATTACATAAATTCTTTTCATGAAATTGGGCAAAAATATTGATACTTTACAATAATAAACACACGAGTGAGGATCCTATTCTTGAATTTGCACCCACCGATCGTTGTTTTTCAAACTTACCCTGCTTTACCAACCTCTTCAGCTTTTATTTTGATTGTCTTTATTAATTCGGACGAATTGCCACTTTTATGTTTTCTCGGCGTTTCATGACCTCTACAGTACGAAAAAAGTAGTATCCCGTATCCGTCTGTCTGTCTGTCTGGACCGATTGTTGTCAAATGTTGTATCTATGTTAGAAATATCATGCAGATGGTCAAATGCTAGCCAAAATTTAACTAGTCATCCCCACCAAGAATTTGATGATGCCATGTCAAAGAACCGTATTTTAAAATGAGTTGAATGTTATACAAAAATACTCCCACACACTTGTAGTACACGAATCCGCTTTCAGTTTTTTCGCTTAACGTTCAAATCGTCGCAAAAACAATTGCACTGTATAATAACGTTATTTTTTTTATATATACTGTTTTCTTTTTACAACAGGAAAGTTAAACATGTTTTCAGTTTCTTGTTTGGAAAAGAAGTTTCGTAAAATAAGAGAAAATAAACAAAATATAAGCCCCGCCCACCCACCCCTTCTCAATTGTGATGAATGCTTTATTCATCGTGAGCTGAAGGGCTTTGTTTAGTTTGCAAAATCCTCATTTCTGTACAAGAAATTATCATATGAAATATATTTTTAAAAAAACTAAGCCAATCTATTATTCAATAATTTTGGACTGTACTCCTAATATAAGTCACGTAGAGTAACCTGTACTTTCTCGTTTTTGTCGAAAAACTGAAGAAATGAAAAACTGAAAAATCTAAAAATTACTGCGCTTCCTACAACATTTATGTCGAATTTCATTGTTGAAATTGATTCTACTAGCATCATCTCTCCATGCATTTTGATTAATCATGAAGGACGGAACAAAAATTTTTTCAAACATGTCAAAGCTACTAAAATGCATCAATTCCAAGAGAAAATAATGAATTTTTGCAAAATTAAAAAGAACGTGGTATATTAAAGATAATTGAAATAACAAAGTCTAAAAATATTATTACGTTGATCGGTTGATTAAAATCGGCGTGGGTTAAACTCAACATT